GAATTTCGCATAATAGAAAATTATATCTAGCAACAGCTACCATCAGGAAAGATAACAAGAAACTATGCTTATAACTTGTTTTCTATTCTTGACGAAACTACTCATTAAAACTCAGTATTGTAGCTGAAAATTCACGAGAAGCTTTTTACTTGTTAACAAAAAAAAAATACAAGTTCATCCAGAAAACACAATAATGAGCATGTACTCATTAGACCATTTTTTTGCGATTACGATTTCTTAAATTTATTTTTTCGTTGCATAAAGAACAAACCAGAAATCTTGATTCGATTTGAATATTAAAATTTTCTTTGTGAAATAAATACTTGTAAAATTTGTCTTTATGATGAAAAGATACAGTAAAACACACTCTACAATATGATTTTTTATTCACTTCACTATTTCATGTAGTGAGAATTGAAATAAGAATGCTACGTAACTCGTTTGTAAAGACTCAGAGAACAAATTCGTTGTGTAAAATTGAAAATATATCTTGTTAAGATTCTTTTTCTAAATCATAAATAAATAAGTCATCTGATAGGATCCTTAAGCAAGATCTAACTTAGTTATGGTAACTTCTTCACTACCATTAAAAAGCCACATTTTTACTTAGATTTAAACAATAATTTCTTTGCTCATATCCCATTCAAAATCCAATTTTTTTTTATTTTTAGAAAGTTTTATCTCAACTGATCAACTGATAAATAAATATATTGAAATTAGATTCTCACATCTCAAGATTCCGATATTTCTATGATTTTAAAGAGATACATATATATTAACAGTTATTTGAATGTTAAGTTAATAGAGAAGCACAGTTATCAAGTCGAATTACCAAATCAGTTTTACATCTTATTTTTCGCGTAATTATTTATGAATGATATCAATTTATTATTTAAACTTTAAATTGAAAAAAAAGAACATGATTTTATTTGATTATTATTGTTTATGAGCACAAGCCATAAAATTTGGTTGATTATAATAAAAGTCGATTGTTTTATCAGTATATGCTCCTCCTCCAGTTGAACCAACATGTGGACAATGTATAGATCGTAGTAAAGGTACAAAATATGTATGAACAAAACGGCAAATAACATTTCCTTGATCTCCTCTTGGGTGTAGGTGTGAGCATGAGTGCTCCTTTGTAACTAGCACCCACACCCACCCACACCCCAAAATTTCAATATCTTCATCATTCTTCAACTAAATCAGCTGATTTTTTTCTTAGAATAGACCATAGATTGAAGATCTTATTCATGTTCAAACAATCCATCCATACATATTAAATTAGCAAACTATTCTTTTTTTCTTATATTTATTTGTTAATAAATGTCAAATATAAAATAAACAAAAGAAAAAAGAAAAAATCAATATTCTTCAATTTTTTGTCGATCTTTTTCAATTTGTAAAACTTTTTTTTGTTAAACTTGTTAAACAATTTGAATTTGAATCATCGGAAAATGTTCGTTTCATAGAATTATTTGTTGATTGACCAAAAAAAAAAAGATTTTTTTCATTTCTACTAATACGAATATTATCTTGATTACTATTTGAATTATTTATTTTTGATATTGTTGAAATAGTTGTTAAAAGTTTACCATCTTCAGTTTGAGTTCGAACCGTTTGTACTGTATTATTTGTACCTAGAATTTATTTATTTAAAGAAAAATAAAAGAAAAGAATTTCAATATGATTTATATAATTTCAATTCAATTAGATTTAATGAATTTTATAAATAATATTATTATTTTATTAATTTATTTATTATGTTAATTACTTGTTTATTTGAATAGGTCAACTAACAACTATTTTACTAAATATTTATTGATTTCATATATTTACATAATATGAGAGAAAAAAAAAATGTTTGAATAAATAAATAAATTTTATATTATTATATGTCAATATGATGTTGAACAATATATTCAATTAAGTTAAATAAAATTGGTCGAAATATAAAAATGGTTCTTATGTATTTATTTAATTGTAGACAAGTATTCTTATTTGTTTTATATTATATAAAAGAGAAGAGTCTAATAAATAAATTCAATTTCGATTAATTCAACTAAGATTTGATTTATTTGACTAGAGTTTTTTAATGAATTATCTTGTTAAGAATCGAGATATCGTCTATATTTTAATTCGTTGTCGATTAAATAACTTGTATATATATGATTCCAAACTCAGCTGAAATTCTCATGTCAACTGTGACATATATTTACCTACTTGAATCGATGATGATAAAACATTCGATGTTGAATTTGTTTGAATTTTATTTAATGAATAATTAATTGAAGATATATTTACGTTAACATGTCCTGATTTAATATTTTCAAATATTTTATTACTATAAGGAAGATCAATTAATTGATTTTCTTTTAAATTTTTATCTAGATTCGGAATGTTAAGAAATATTTCTTTATAAAAACTAGTTATATCACCAATTATATATCCTTTGATAGTGTTAAACATGAATTTTTATCTTGAAGAAAAAACAAAAAGAATAAATATCTTTAATTGAATATAAATCTCATTTTCAACAAAATCATATTTGTTAATTGAACGAATAAAAACACTTCGAACTGTTTTTAATTTCGAATTAGGCATTGGTTTATATACTTGAATTAAACGAGACCATGTTAATTCTTGTTTATCTTGTTCGTATTGAAATAAATTCGAATTAGCAACATAATAAATCGATGATAATATTATTTGATGTAAATCTCGTGAACAAAATAATAATTGAGTATAATTTTCAAATAAATTCCAAATGATTTTTTCAAATTTATTTGATTGAGATCCATATAAACGATAACAAATAACATCAAGACGAGATAAGACATGTTCATACAATTTCCGATAAAACATTGTATATGGACTTAATTTAATATGTTTTTTTATCATTATTTTCAACAATTCCATCTGATTTACTTCGATTTATTGTCAATTTATTCTAGACAACAACATCGTCTGTTTTTTTTCTTTTTATCCTATTAATTTTTGTTTTCTAAAAGTCTATTCAACTTTTTAGAAAAAAAATGTTTTTTTCTTTGAACGAAATATTTCAAGAATTAAATTGATATTATATTAATAAAGATTTATTTTAATTAGTTAACTAAGACAAATAAAATGTCTTTGGTTTATTCTATAATAATATTT